CCGGGGAGCCCGCCCTCCTCCCCTTCCCGCGCCGTGCCGCGCCTCGCCGACTCGACTCCCAGGCTCCGCCGCCCGCGCTCTGCTCCCTCACCCCCTCCCTCGCCCAGCCCCACTCGGTTGGAACTCAGTCGGGAACCCCTGGCCCCTCCCTCCCCGCCGCCTCCCAGGAGGTGCCAGTACCTATGCCCTGGATGAAGACGAAGCCGGTGACCATGAGCACCGGGTGCCAGTTAAACTCGAGCGCGGTCCCGTCCCAGCCAAGCCCCTCCCGGTAGTGGAGGACCCAGATGAGGGTGAAGATCACGGACAGGAAGCCGACGAGCAGCGCCGACACCAGCAGCCCCAGGAAGCCCCTGTAGCCCTCCATGGCCATCTGCGCCCATACTCCGCGCGGTGGCAGCCGCAGGAACTCGGCGAGGCGGCGGCAGCCTCTGGGTACTACGCGGGCCCGCGGCGGGACGCGGCGTCTACTTCTAGGAGTTGTCTCCGCCCGGGGGAGGGGCTTTCTCGCGGGCCTGTCCCGGACGTGGGGCCTCCACGGGGTGGGCAGCTGGCCCTTGTTCAGAGATGAGCCCCACCCTCGAGATCTCGTGGTCGCCTAGAGCTCTTGCTCCGCGGTGGCCGCCCCTGGCCCGCATCTGAGCTTGCAGAGAGCTCGAGATACCGATCCGGTTAGTTCAGAATGACAGCCCGGAATAGTCCATACCCACCATTTTCTTTTAACTCTTCCCGTGTCTCTTATTTGTGCACACTTTCGGTCAACAGAAGAGGGGGGTCCTTTGGGTGACGACATGTGAGTGATTTTGACTCACGGACCCTCCTGAGCCGCAGTCTTAGACGACTGGCGGTCTTTGATGCCAAGGATGTGCCAAGGAGGAACTTGGGGGACAGTATGGGCTTGGCCTTACCTAGCAAGAAACTGCTTGCAGTTTGCGCTTTAGAGGGAAGACAGACACATCCTGAACCCCGGGCTGGCCATATAGTGTGATAAAAATGGATCTTAAAAGTGCCCACCTGCCCAAACCTGTTTGGACTAAAGCCCCACTTGGTGGAGTGAAGCTCTCTCACTCCCTGCCCTCCTTCCAACATTAATTTCACCCTTCTCCATTGGACTTTGAAAAGTGTCAGTGTTATCTGTCGCTGTTAGAGAAAACAGCCCTCTGGCTCTTAGGGTTCCTAAAATGCATTTGGGAAGGTTCACTTCTAGCCCTCTCCTGTAGCTTATCTCCAAGGACTAGTTTATTATATTGTCTTGTTGCCATTTTGAAAGACCTGAGAATGTGCAGGAAGTATAGGTACCAGTGTCAAGCACTGGTAGTGGGGCAAGATTAAGGCCTAAGAGTAAGAGGCTGCAGACTTTACTGGTGTCATTTTTCACTTGATAGGGAAAAAGAAAGGGAGAGAAAACAAATGGAAAATTAGGACCCCTCCCCACAGTATAAGGCTTTCTATGCTCTGGCCCAGTCTCGGCCCCCACTCTAATCCTCTACCACAACCTGACTGGCCCTGATGTCCATTGCTTCTCTCCCAGCTCCTGAATAACTCCCTACTCATGTGTCTGCATCTACATTTGACTGACCCCATCTCCACCAAGAAACCCCCCTGAGCCTGCCTATGCCCCTGGCTATTTTACACCTCTACCCACCTCACTTCCAGTGCCTCTCTGCATCACTTACCAGGATGTGATATAACCATCTGTCCCTGTGGCTATCTCCACTTCCCAGATAGGGTGGTAACCGTCTAATTTATCACTTTATTCTTCCTTGACATATAGTAGTTACTCAGTGAGTGTGTGTTGGGAGAAAAAGGAGATCGAGTGTGTCAGTCAGGGTCCTGACAGGAAACAGATGGCTCATTCCAGCTGGGCAATTTAATAACGAACTGAACTATTCACAAAGTTGTGGGGAACCACAAGGGTTTTGCAGTGCCCAGGCCTGAATGGGAGAGGGTCACTGAAATCCAGAGAGAGAGAGTGAGTGAGCAAGCTGTGTAGAGAGGGCAACTGGGTCAACTGGGGCTGTGACCTTGAGTTGAGGGATGCAGCCAGACTGCAGGGACCCCACAGGGAAGAAGAGTGGGAGGCGGCATGAATATTCCAGCCTTACTCTCTTCGCCTCCAATCTCTTGCCTGCCTGGTCCCACATGGCTGAACATAATCTGAAACCCATAGGAAAGATGATATAGCTCGTATAGGTCCCTCCAGGACACAGCAGAGTGGAGAAGGGTTAAGAGTAGATCCCTATGAATAAACCAAAACTATCACTGACTCTTCCAGTTGTATTTTTTCAGACTTTTGGGTTCCTGAGTGCTACAAAGATTCCCTGTTTAAATTTATGCTGTTTCTCTTCCTCTTCGACCTTTAGCTAATAATTCTTTAACAACAATGTCATTGTGTCCCTAATCTTCTCCCTAAAAGTATCTAGTCCTTGTCCCCAATTACCTTCTTCATGCCCTTAATCCAACACCTTCACTCCGCTCTTGGTTGATTTTGCTCTGCAGCAGCAGCAAAGAAGAATCTTGGGGATTCCAGACTCCATTTAACAAAACACCTCAGGAGAATGAAAACACAGCCAAATAGTATGGATGGTGTCGAATCATCCCGAAGTTATAAGCTAAACTGAGAGAATTTCAACATGTAAGCTGTCCTCTAAGGACCTAACTTTGATAAAACTTGTCACTTGAAAGAGGAAATTTTTACATGGAGGCAAGCTAAATGTAGCAACAGATGACTGGATAAAGAAGTCGTGGTATATTTATACACCAGAATACTACTCTACCATGAAAAGGACAAAATAAAACCATTTGCAGCAACGTGGATGGAGCTAGAGATCGTCATTCTAAGTGAAAGCAGCCAGAAACAGAAAAATACCAAATGAT